GCACACTCATGCTGCGTGCATTCAGCATTCTCCTCTGAAGATCTGCACTGCGCATGCGCCCACCCTATCATCCTGCACGGCCACTCGAGAAGCTTCACATCTTCAGACAGGAGCGAGCAGCGGAGACACATAAGTAATTACCTTTTTGCATATATCTACTGCTTGCTATTAGTAGATATATGCAAAAAAAAAGTTTAATTCTACTTTAAAATGTCAGCAGAAATTTTTAAATATTTTATGCAATGTGAATGGGAACATGTAACAAAACATAAAATAGGTGTGATCTCAGTTTGGCTGCAAAAGTGGAAATAAACTAATAAACCCCCAAAAGTAGAGAATTTGGTCTTAACACAAAGATTTCACACGGTTCCTGTGAGGGAGACGTTCATATGCAGAGTCAGTGTGTGCTCTGAGCTATATGCAGAGATGATAACAGAATTGTACACATTAAACCAGGGAGCAGAACATCAGAAAACTGGAATGTAGTACAATACAAACACTATGTCCCTGGCCATTTGTACAGAAGCAAATGAGAAAACATAAAATACAGTAACAGCAAGTTAAAGTGTACAACGAAAAAAAATAAAAGCCTCGTTGTAGAATGGCACAGCAGCTCATCAGTTGGCTACACATAAGTACCTGCCAATGGCCAGAGCCAGCATTGACCGATCACTGATCCCTGTGTGCTGATGACACCTCAAACCTGGAGCACAAGCTGACACTCAGCACAGCTCAAAACAGCACCACGTCACTTCCGGCTCCTGGGATTTTTTTTTCGATAAACTTTATAAACAACAGACATTACAAAGACCAGAAAGGCAGTAGGGCAAACGAACCCCATCTAAGACCTGTGTCAGTAGGCTGGCACGGCTCATTTCGGGGGATTGAACATAAAGCGCCCTTATTATTACGGGGATTCCGGACGAATTCCAGACTGGCAGACGTTACTAAGGCTGGTTATGTGAAAGACAATGCGGTGCTCATTATGGCCAGAAGATGGCGCATTAGGGATGATGAAAGCCGAGCTGGATTTTTCATCCTTGGATGCATTGTTTCATTCACTGCAGATGAAGAGATCTCTTGGTACCAGATGGACAAAAAAAAATGTCAATGCCCTAAACTAGGATAAGCCTAGCGTATTTCCACTTTTTCCACATGCTCCCCCGTTTACATAACTTGAGGAAAATGATCATATGTAATGATAAAAGCAATGGGTGGGCACTTCATTTGTACAAGGGCCACATGAGGAACTGGGACAGCTGTGGAGGGTCGAACCAATAAACGCAGACCATTCGTTACAGTGCAACAGGTACCTTGCGTTGCCATTCATTTGAATGTCACCCCAAACGCACCTCCTGGCTGCAATGCAATCAGCCATGCCGCAACACATGGTTCCACAATACCGTGCGTTGCATTGAGATTGAAAAAGGTAGTGCATGCAACACAATGCACCTGCTGCACTGTAACACATGGTAGGTGCATTGCACAGTACCATGAGTTACTCACACAGCATAGGTGTGATTGTGCCCTGAATGAAGCCTTATTGTCCCCACATAAACATACTATGTATGTGGCACATACTGGGTTTTTTTTTCTTTACACGCCGCAGGTGGGAGGTGAAGCTTCAGGAGGAGGTCGGAGGAGATGCTGGGGGAGCCTGAAGAGGAACGCAGTCTGGACACAAACCAATTGCCAACCTGCACTGGGCAATGGCTTGCAGTGTCAGCAGGCTGGCGCATCCACTGGCAACCAGCTATAAATGAGTGTAGATTGGCGATCAGTCTGGGTCTAGACCGCAGCCTGGATAGAGACAGACAAAGGGATGAACACGGTTAATTCACTGTATAAAAAATGAACTAACTTACAACACACTCCTCACCCCTTCTATATCCACTGCAAGCATGACCATTGCTCATCACCCATGCCAGCCGGTATACCGGTCCTGGCGCTCAAAAACATTACTACACAGTCCTTGAAGCTGTGTAGCAACATAATACTTGCAATGATGAGTGGTCATTGGTCAATGCAGTAACATGACCATGCTGACCAATGGGAATCTCTTCTGAACCTTCCTTCTTCCTGAAAGAAGGAGCAGAAGAATGTGATGTGCAGAGGATACTGAAGGAGTAAGGAGCGTGTTGTGAGTTAGTCCACCTTTTCATTTTTGTTAAGGGGTGAACTCATCTTTTAACCCCTTCATGACAGCTTTTTTTTTTTTTTGTTTTTGTTCATTAAAGGGAGAACTATGAGGTGAGTGATTTCCACTCATTCTCATAGTTAGAGGCGACCTGTGACAAAGAAGCTGTCACAGGTCGGCTATATTGATCGGGAAGTGAGCCGAAACATACTGTCGCTTGCTCACTTCCCGATCGTCTCCCTGCAGTGAGCTGAGACTGTCAGTCACCTCTCCCCACAGGGATTCCCCCCTCTCCTCTCCAATCCTCCAGCACTGAGTGGTCGAAAGAACGGGGGAGGGGACGGGCACAGCTGGCTCTGTCACTCACGCAGCTGGGTGGATTTCGACAGCATTGTCGGGGTCTGTCCCGGCTGCGGCACTCTCAGTATATTACGGGCAATAGCTCACTATATACTGAGCTTTGGTTCACGGGAGGAGGTTAGTATATGTCCTCCCGTGACCCTAAAGAGAACTTGGGGAAAAACACTTACCCCATAGTTCTCTTTTAATGACCAACACACTTTTTACATTTTTGCTGTGTGATTTTTCCACATCAGTAATATACTTTCTTACTAAGTGCACCCACATATATTATATATTGTATACAAGGAAAAGAGGTTTCGAGCCACCAGAAGGAACAAGACACCACACCCCTAAATATAATTGTAAAAAAGGATAGAGAGAGTGGGGCTTTTTAGGTGTCGTTCTCAGGTTGGACCCACGGTGCACTGACACAAGACTGGATATGTCAATGACTTTATATGATTGATCTCTATACATTTATATGAAATATCCCTAAGAATGAGATGATGCGTGGACCTATATGGGTTGGACTTGATGGACGTATGTCTTTATTCAACCCCAAATACTATGTAACTATTATCCCGTCACTGGTTGTTAATGAACTGAAAGATTGTGATGGTATAATCCCGTCATCGGTCGGGATGGAGTTAAGGATACGTTTTTGGATTTGGATACGCTTTAATAACTGTATTAGTACACCTGTAACAACACAGGTGAGTTTTATTTGCACGAACATTTCATTTTTAAGGACAAGCCTTTGGAAGGGTCTACTTCTTCTTCTGGTCCAAACAATTTTGCTTGTATTCGGAAGGGGGGGGGCGGGGGGTGACAGTCTGAAAGCCTGTCCTGAATAATAAACTGGTATTGCAAATAATATTATCACATTTCAATAAATTACAGAACCAATGACAGACAGAGTTCAGTTTTTTGCAATCACTTATCTTTATTTAAAAAAATTGCTTAGTAATAGCTCTAGAAATCAAAACAGAAACAGATTAACACATCTTTATAATGACTTTAAACGATAATTAGTCCGCAGAGAGCATATGCACTCGTTCTACATGTGAAGAAGTTAGCCGATCTGTAGATTTATTATACTATATGTAAGAAGAAATGCCATCAATCTTGTCTTGTGTTTGAGGTGCTGAGAATTTGATGGCATTTCAATAGAGCATACAATAGCCAGCTGCATATCAAACAGTAGTCACCGTAACTGCATAGGATACAGGGAGAATGCAGCTTGAAATCTCACACACAGTATGCACTATATGTGTGCAAGTAGGCTCCTTTGAATTGTATTATGTGGCTATGTGAACTGCTTGTACAATAACAGTCAATTCCATCTTTTTCTGATAGAGTTGCACTGAATCTTACTGAGATGTAATGAGGCACAATCAGAGCAGATGCAGTAGGAGAAGGCTAAAAATAAAATAAATGTGAAAACAACATATCTGAAGCACTCGTTTGAAGCTCATCAAGCATTTCTAAACACTCCTTTCCTCAGAAGCATTGCTATATGCTTTAGTACTTCATAACGAGAAAAAAAATCAACTACTAAACAAATGGAAAAAATCAAACAAAGTGGAAGAAAATGCTTTCTGGATTTTGATAAACCGCTAAAAATGGTCTGATTGTATGAGAAGTCACATGACCTTCTGAAAACTTTGCCTGTTTCTTAACTCTAATGAACTAATTTCTACATGTTAAATATATTTACATATACGTACAACTAGGCATTTGGATTTAAATGTAGCCTTGTGAGATGGCCTATAACATTTCAGTGTAATGATACACAAATTGTTCCCAGTCATAGATGGTTTAGTGTACTTGGATCACACACATACATACCTCAACCGTGTCAATATAACCATATTACACAAATTATTTGATATGCTCAACAAATCATCATCTGGCTACCAAATAAACTGGTAATCAGATTCCACTTTAGTGCCATGCAGAGACAAAATACTGCTCCTCTATGCTTTCTCCCAAACCACAATTCTCTCTACCAAGGGTTGTTTTATTAAAATGTCTGCACAGCAAAGAGCTCTGTGAATGTCTAAGTTTAGATCCAGAATACATTATGGCCCCTAGATAGAGTTGTGGAGCATAGTAAATTCCTCTGCTGCTTGACATTCTCTAGTGGCCATAATGCACTGTGAATCTACAACAGGGCAGATCACTCTGCAAACATTTAGGCAGACTTGTCAGTTAGCGAATCCAATAAAAACCTCAACCCTAAGCCTAGGCCATCCTAATCCTGGTTTAACATAGGATCATATTACTGGGTAGAACACGATGAATAGGTAGCTTCAGAGTAAATGTTTGCCAATTTACTAATAGTGAAATTACAGCTCATGAGTATAAACTTAAAAAAGGAACAATATTTTAGCTAAATCCATAAACAGATGTGTAAAATCTGGCCATTTAAAACAAAATTGTTTATACAATATTTTGTTCTGTCACCTTTGTGGGGGATGAAATAAAGTAGACGTTAAAATAATAAAGCACAAAATGCTGATATAAAATGAAGCTTATCGCAGCCACACAGTGTTCAGCTGAGTCTGATTCTTGATACTGGTGTCCATTTTCAGTACTTCTCTGATGGCCATAGTAGCATAGGTGGAGGAAGGTAAGGAAAATTCCATCTTCAGTGCCCGGTATTTTCCATCTGCAAGGTAAAAATATAGTTCACTGCTACCAGTAAAGAAAACGTGTAGAGCAGTTTTTTAAACTGTCATTTTATTATGTAAAATTATACACGCAGGGGCCACTATTAGGTACTCATTACTGCAAACAGAAGATTGGGTAGCTGCAACACAATACATAAAGCATGCAAACATGGTCAAGACATTTATTTGACCAATCATTATTATGGGGAAGATGCGTGATCTAGTTCACCAAGGTATGATGATTGGAGGTGGTGCTCTAATTATGTAGTTTCTGCATTGCGCTGTATAATGTACTATTGCTGGGTTTTGTAGTCCTCTATAGCCGGTGCCATTCTTCATCATTGCTGTATAATTTTACACTTTCCATTTAACTATATTGCACACCACACTATCTTTTTTCTTTTTTTCTTCCACCGCTCCAAGCTTGCTCCTGTGATGGACTACAATCTCAATATAAACTAGTAGTCCCATCACTGGAGCCATTTTTTAAACGTTATTTTATTGTTTATCCGATTAACCGATTAATCGAACTTAATAATCGGCTAACTAATCGATTTTGAAAATAATCGTTAGCTGCAGCTCTATAGGTAATGTTTCCTTAGTAAACATTAGGTCTCTTGATACAAGTTGAGTGATTTGAATGTCACGTTGTAACCGATTATTGCTTTTAACCATGTGTACCTCTTTATGGTCATACTTCACACATTTTCCATTGGCTAATTTTGTGCAGAAAGTAGCCAATGTCCCAAAGCCCACATCTTCTCCGGTCTACATATGTAATGAGCAAACATGGTTGCCCCATGTTAACATATTGTAATACTGCAAATTATACAGAAAAAAAGGGTTTTCAAAACATCAATATTAATCGTTAAGCTTTATTACATCAAGCTGATCACCTTTATATGTTAAAAAAAAAAAACACATTGAGAAATAGACATGTATGAATTTCTGAAATTGTCCAATGTTTTTGTTTTGAGTTGTGCCTATTGCACAACATATATAGTATTTATATGTAATATGTGACATATAAATACTAAAATATCAATGGATCTACTGGCATTAGCAGTCAGGTGTGTTCATCTGCCCACAGACAACAAATGTCTAAGAAAATTTGAAAACTAACCCTTTTGTGAGCAGGGGTAACTGAAACCAAGGTGCATACACCAAAATGACCTAGCTCCAAAACTGAGGGTGCTGTTAGGTTCAGATGAATGGCATCTTATTTCTCTATGAACAGCAGACCACAAATAACAAGAAACCAAAATGTTCCTGAACTCTTTCATTGCCATAGTATAGTTACTATAGTACCGGGGTGTGTTTATATCGAACAAGCTGATGTCAGCTTTCTGGTAGAAGCCACCGATCACTTCTACACTGCTGGGGTAGAGGAGTACTACTACCCGTAGTGACATCATTGATAAGGATGGCATGGCAGCTCTGAAGAGATATTGTACTGTACAGCAAAGAAAATGAGTAGTAAACGCTTCATACATATGTACAGCAGCCCAACATTTCAACTAAAGAGTTCCCCGCATGTTAACTCATAGGGGACTCATCAGAAATGAAACAGGAGACATCCACTAACCCACCTACACAGTAGTAAAGGCCTGTTGGCATGAAATCTAATCACTCCATAAATAGAATAAAGCGACATTCCTTGCCATGAGTTTAGTCTATTTCCCAGATGTTTGACATACTAACATTATTGCCATGACCGTTACAAAGCAGGGCCTGCTACTGAAAACAAGGCTTTGGAGTCTCTCTAAATATCTCTATGGCATCCCTAAATACAGGAATTGTCAGCACTTTGTTAAGACCAGCCACCCCTAGATCAACTGTAGGAACAGACCACTTCTTGATACAGACCCCCTCAAACAGGTATTTGGGTTGCAAAACGTTTGCAAGATGTAAATCATTTATCAGGAGTTTCCCAGTCAGCCACCAAGGCATTTGAGAATAGTGTGTGCACGGGGAAAAAAAGCATGTGCTGACAGCAAAACATACTGACAAGAGTGCAGAGTGATGACTCATCAGTGTGCCACTGCTCTATCATTTAACCAGCAGGCTTAAGGTGGTCATACACCTTACAATTATCGTTCGATTTATTTTGTCAAGTCATCGAACCCGAGTTCGATTTCCGTTTAACCCTTTCCCGGACACCGACATAAGGCATACTGCAGAGCAAAACTGTTCCCAAACCGCCAGGTCAGTATGCCTCACGTCGGTGGCATTTACCGTTCTGCTATAAGCTCAAGGTCGCTTTAGCAACCATGAACTTATATCACAACTGTTCCCTGGACGGTCCCCTTTAAATTAATAGCGGTTATCAGCGGCTGACAAAAATTCACAACAAAAATTCCCTTCCTGTTCATTCATGACTTTCTCAAGTGGGGAGAAGCACTCACTACATTCATAACTGGATGATAGTAGATATTTTACTAGTTTCTGAATGAATAGGAAGCCTCTGTGCTGAGTGCTCTCCATTCATTTAGAACAGAGGCTGCAGAAAAAGAAATTGAGGAATCTGTGTCCTCAACTTCTTTTTCTATTTCAAAAAGGGAAATGTCAGGGGTCTGTTTAGGCCCCAGATATTTCACCGTAGCCCCCCAACAGTAAAAAAATAAAAATAAAAATTGGAAGCCCCCCCCCCCCCCATAACATACACGTGCACCATATTGTGGTGCACACCGTAACTAGAATGCATCGCAGTGCATGATTTTTTTTCTTTTTAAAAAACATTAATTTTACTGTGGCACGTCATGGCACAGTTTTGTGATGCATTGCTGTGCGTTCCGATACCTTGTGTTGCAATCAAATATACACCTTCATCATCACAGAACCAACACAGCGCAAAAACATTTTTTTTTAACATAAGTCGCTTATTTACAGTTTTGCGTACCTTCATTTTTTTAAATTTTTCGCACAAAAGCCGCAATTTAAAATGTTAAAATATTTATTTACTCAATACAGTTTTATTTTTTAGATCTAGTCGTAAAATTATTATTATTTTTTGTGCGCTGATACTGAGTTTAGTGCTTTATCAATTGAATTGTGTATTTTTATCGGTTTAAAATTAATTTAATAAACATTTGCCTACAAATTTAGTAGCACCATCTTTTCATTCTACCGGGCCTTACAAACGCTAGCAACGCAGCAGTTCAAAATCAAATCAATGGGAAAAATTGCAAAAATGGTGTGGCCAGCTGAGGTGCAAAATGTTCCGGAGGGCTTGGCAGCGAAAGGGTTAAAAACCCCATCATGCACAGACCAATGTAGATTTTGATTACTGTTCATTAGCAATACTAACGGGCCAAATTTCGTCGATCGACATATGTTGCGATTTTTTGAGCACGAAAACGCCACTATTGCATTGATTTTCGTACAATTCGAAAAAAGTTTGCAGTTGCTGCATCTGATGTCGATTACCTTCTCTGGCAGGGGTGCCTGGATCATAAGATTGGCTGAACAGAATTACAATGTATTTGGCAGGTAATGTTTCCATCCATATACTTTATTTCAGCTGTGTATTTAACTGCTTGGTGTGAGTTTGAGTTTCAGGCAGTGACACAGACTTGATTACCTTTGTTGAAGACAGGTAATGGCTTTCCTTCCAGCTTTTCCAGATCAGTTCCAACTAGAGGGATTTTAAGGTCATCATAGGAAACAACTTCCCTATAAATATTGCAGAAAGAAATATTTACCATTTCTCCTTATTGTGCACTACAATTATAGATGCTTGCAAAAAAAGGCAAAATTAAACTTTAAAAGTACATTTTAAATGATATCTGTAAAAAATAAGTCAAGGCAACTGAAGACGTTTTCAATTCTGAAATGAGAAAGCTGGTTGGATGACCAGTGAAATGTCTTCAAGAAAAATACAGCAAATCCAGTTGCCTTGATTAATTTTTTACAGATATACCATGACCTGGGTGAATGAGAACCTTCACATACATTTTAAAATGATGTAAGTTTAAAAAAAATGCAGCATTGAAAGTCCCCATATAACATCAGCCTAACATATACATAGACAGGAGAAATACACTGCTTACCAGCTAACATCCTGAGGTCGTATCAGAAGTTTTCTGTAAGCTCCAGCTAAAGAGTAATCTTTTATTTTATGCCTCATGTTCTTAATATCAAGTTTATCAGTCGCAAGCATTTCTTCATAAGCTGCAGCAACTGAAAGGAAAAAAAAAATCTTCAATTTACAAAAAGTCCTTACCATGTCAAAACAGTAACAATTAGGAAGGTGCTCAATAACAAAAATGCCATGTGGGAAAACTAAAAAAGGTTTTGTGCATTAAATCTGCCAGCGTGGCTTTCTAAAGAGTCAACCTGCCTATTACTAGCCTTTAAGGCTCTTAAGACAACATGTAGTTTCATGTAGTTTTATGTAATAATTAGTACAGTAAAACACAGTAACCAGTCATTAAATATTCTGTAGCCAAACTGAAACAAGATGCTTTCTGATTGGTTGTTATAAGTTAATTAACTTAAAAAGGAGAAGTATGAGGGGAGTGCTTTTCACTCACCTCATAGTTCTAGCCGACCTGTGACAATGAGACTGTCACAGGTCGGCTCAGTAGATCGGGAGGTGAGCGAACACATGCCGGTGTTCGCTCACTTCTCAATCCTGTCAGGGCTCTCTGCTGTGACAGGGGAGGGGATGGATTCCCCCCTCCCCGCTCCGATAGCGCTGACTGGCGGAACGGACGGGGGAGGGGGCAGCTGGCTCTGCCTCTAGATAGGCAGAGCCAGCTGTCACTCACGCAGCTGGGCGGATCTCAACATCGATGTCGGGATCCGCTCCGGCGTCTCAGTATACCGCGAGCTGTAGCTCACAGTATACTGAGCTTAGGGTGACGGGAGGACGCTAGTTTGTGTCCTCCAGTTACCCTAAGGAGAACTATGGGGAAAAACACTGACCCCATAGTTCTCCTTTAATTATCAGGCACATGTCTTTAAACGTTTAACCAGCTTGCTCCAATGCATTACACCCAACCTGGTTTACACTATAAAAATAGTTTTTTTGTACGCACCCTAAAATCCTTTTCATGGAGTTCATTGAGGGATACAGGAGGACTTAAACTGCAGGGTATACTGCTGCCAACAGGAGGAATGGACATTGGCAAATGAAAAAAGCTGTAGGGCAGCTCAGAATAACACCTCCCACTACCAGCATGCCTCAATTTTGTAGCAAAATAGTATTGAGTATGAACTAAAAAAAAAAAAAAGGAGAGAGAGAGAGAGGGGGGGTGGGACATGTGTCCCTCAAACTCTAAGAAAATAATTTTATGGTTATATTTAACTTTGTCTATTGAAGGACACAGGAAGTTTTAACCGTGGGATGTTCAAAAGCAGTCAAACTGAGGGGTGGGCAACACAGCAAACAAAAGCTAACAGGCCCAAAAAAACAACAGCATACAGGGACTGTCTGCATTACAAAAAGCTGCTTGAAGGACCTTACATCAGATAAGGCCGCAACATCCACCTAGTAGAACTTACAGAACATGTAATTAAAAAAAAAAAAATTCGTCCCTTGGAGAAACTTCTGGGCTAGAAGGCCCTAGACTGCCACCAGGTGAAGTATGCCTTCTGAGTACTAGGACAGACCTTGTGAGAAGTACATTTCTGAGCTCAGCATGGTAAAAACCACATTAGATCCCTCTGTCCCTTGAAAGCTTGGCTTTAACAACGATTGCATTAAAACCATCAACCATGAAGCAGATAAATAGGTCCTTGGGACAGAAGATACTGACAATCCGGTAGAGCCAACGAAGCACAATGAGGATCACTGGAATGCCCTCCATTTTGATCCTGCAAAGCAGGTGTAAAAGTCTCCTGAGAGGAAAAAGTTTCTGTAGACAAACCTGTCCAGTATGTTGTTGAACCTACAGACCAGGAAGTTCACATCTGGTTTTCCCCACCTACAATACCATTTTTTAAAACACATCCAAGTATAGGGACCATTCCCTTGTGTCTAGGGCTGCAGCTAACGATTATTTTCAAAATTGATTAGTTAGCCGATTATTAAGTTTGATTAATCGATAAAAAAGGCCCAAGTGAGGAACTACAAGTTTGTAGTCCATCACGAGGGCAGTGTAAGTAAAAAAATAAAAAAAAAAAAAAAGAAGAAGTGTGGTGTGCAATATAGTGAAATGGAAAATTTTAAATTATACAGCAATCAATGCAGAATGGCAATGGGCTATAGAGGACTACAAATCCCAGCAATAATACATTGTACAGCGCAATGCAGAATACCACCAGTTATAGGAGGAATACAACAAATCCCAGCAATACATTATACATGCATTGTATAATGTATTGCTGGAATTTGTATTTCTCTATAGCTGATGGTACATTGCTCTGTATAATATACTATTATAGCAAGTATTAGCCCACTTACCTAGAGATCAGCAGCTTTCCCCCTAAAACAAAAAGTATATAACCAGACTGTCAAGGTGATTGAAAGGGCCAGCATCCATACTCACGTTTGTGCTTAGGGTAGATTACATCAAAGCCTGGCAGTGGCATCACAACATCATGAATGCTGTAACTGTCAACTTCATTTTCCTCCACAACGACTGCAGTGGCTGTGGAAAAAAACAAAACACTGAATTGTATGGCATTGGATTACCCATTTTCAAATGCTACAAAATGATCACACACACACATATACATATATACGCGCGCACACACACACACACACACACACACACACACACACGTTGAAGATAACTTGGGATAACTACCGTGAAAGTCACGTCAGCACAATGAGTGAATCTAGAGATATAGTCAGCTGATGCTTTATACAAATCTTTTTACAAATCCTTATACAAAGTCTTTTTAGCACAATGAACAATACCTCCTTTCAGCACCAGGTCACCCGGTACAACTTTTAGTCCGTACGCCTCAATTCTTTTGCTCACCATGTTATTCCAGACATAGCTTTGATAACTGTGGATATACATTAATCTGTTGTTCCTAGGAATCTAAAAATAAAAAGTATACATCAGAAAAAAAATGTATAATTAAAATATAGGTGGTGTATGAAGAAGTGCTCCCTATTCTGGTTTATGTAAAAGATCAATTGTTAACTTGTTGGCAATCTATATTCTTTTTAATGGGAGCCTGGTAAGTTTAAACCTGGTTTAAAAAGTTGCAAGCTGAAGGTCTTATCCTTACAAAATGTAAAATGAAATGTTTTATCAGCTAGATCACTTCTGGTATGAAAAGCCCTGCAGGTACCACTGCAATAGCCTGTAAGCTGCAGGCCTATAAACTTGGTAATGCTTCAATATTGCAGCAAGGCTGGTCATTGAGCGCTCTGCTTACACTAACTCAGCAGCGTGTATTCATCACCAGACTAACAGCAAAGCCACAAATAGGTGGCTGCATTGCATAATGGGAGGAATATTTTAAAAGTGAAAATTAAAAAAAACACACTGGTCACAAACCTGGGCATTTCGGATGGTGGAAAAAAAACTAAGGGAAAAATCATTGACTGAAGTGAACACTGCATAAAAAATTACCACTAGAGCCAAAGACACAGGCCACTCAAACTATATGGAAATCTTAGCTTTTATTTAAATGTAAAACCTGACCCTGCCTCCTCTTACTTCCAGAAGTAAAAAAAAAAAAAGACACAATTTAGTTAAAAAGTATGTAAAGCCAAAAAACAGGATTCTTGTCTCACTTGGAGTACATCACAGGACACAAGGAGTTGATTTTGGAACCAATGGGTTATGCAGTTATGTTCATGTGATTGGACACTGGCAAATCAAAGCTGTAAAGACAGTCCTATATAACCCCTCCCACTCCCAGCCTGTTTCAGTTTTGTACCAAGAGGTACCAGAGTGTATAACAGAAAAACAGGAGGGGAGGGGTCTGTGATATACTCCAAGAAACATTTTACTGGTGAGAAAATTCCTGTTTTCCTAAATCACAGGATAAAAAGGAAGCTGCATTCCTTAACCACTGTGAAAATCCAAAAGCATTGTAACAGAGGAGTGGCCAACACAGCAAACAATGATCAACAGGCTGATGAGGAAACACAAACAATACACAAACTATAACAGAAGGAGCCCACAAGTCAAAAGGCCATCTGAAGATCTTTGGGGCTGAAGCTAGCATTCTCAGAGGCCTGAATATTAACCTGGTAAAAGTTTGAATGGAGGACCAGGTTGCAGCCTTACAAATATGTTGCATGATGTTGGAAGCCAAAGAAGCACTAATGCTTCTGAAAGAGTAATTCTTGAATGAAAAGGGAGGATCTTTACCTTTTAATGCATAGGCCTGAGTGATGGTTTGCCTAATCCACCTAGCGACTGTGAAAAAAGAAGCAGCTGCCCCATACGGGGACCATCAGCAATGGTGAAGAGAGTCAGACTTGTGGATGGAGGCTGTAGCACAGAAGTAAACCCGACTGGACCGAACCACATCCAAACAGCGGAGGGATATTTTTTCTTAGGATGTTTGGGAGCAGGACATGAAGATGTTAAGACTCCTGGTTAAGATGGTAGGCAGAGGCCCCCTTAGGAAGAACGGAGGCCTTAGGCCTCAGCACTAGCTTACCTTTACAGCTCAAAGCTGCCAATTTAGAAGTCTGCCTGGCAGAAGTGATGACAACAAGGTAGGCAACCTTGTGAGCGAGTATTTAGAGGGATATCTCCCAGAGGTCCAAATAGCAACCCCCTACCCTATAGTGTGAGGACAAGTAATTTCTGGAAAAGAATTGCAAAGGCAGAACGTTAACTCTCGATAGTGCTCAAGGCAGAATGTTGTTCTAGGCCAGGCTGGAGGAAAGATCAGATGTGTATTTCCCTGGGACAGAACCTACTTGCTTTGCACCAAGCAAAATAAGCCTTACAAGTGCAAAGGTAGACCTTTTGGGAGGTCAACTTTATAGGTTTCAGGAGCAGAGGGATGACAGCATTGAAAAGCCCCTATCCTTCAGAACCTGGGCTTTGACAGCCAGGCAGTTAAAGCCATAGACTGAAAAGCAGGGTGGAATACCAATCCTTGGGACAGGAGGTCTGGCTTAATCTGTAATTGCCCATGGTCTTTAAAGAGTTTGACTACCTTTGGCCATTTGGAAGCAATGAGGACCACTGGGATGCTACCCTATCTCGATCCAACAAAGATAGCAAAGCAAAAGTTTTAGCGGAGGGAAAGCCAGGACCAGAAGATCCCTGGACCTGGCAGCAAACTTGTCATGTCTGTTGTTGAACCTGGATGCCAGGAGGTCCCGCATTGAAGAGACAACTAAATTGCCTTAAGCTTAAGGATGTTAATCATGAGTCGAGATTCCTCAGACAGCCATGTCCCTTAAATCGAGAGGTTTCCCCAGCCTGAAATCTGTTGTGAGCACCAAACCAACAGGAGGAAGGAATTTCCTGATACCAGAGCTGGGCCAGGACAAGCCTGGCCTTGCAAACAGGGATTTTGCAGATATCTGTATCTTAGCATGAATGTTACCAGAGGAGAGCTCTGGTAAGTTAAAGGGGGTATGCCCCGTGCAATCTATGCCCTTCCAGTGGGCATATTCTATGACGGGGGTCTTCAAGGACAGGACTACGGCCCTGTATCTGTATAGCACCCTGCAGCAACTGAAAGCACTGGAGTAAGTGCCAAGGTGAGTACCTCATGCAGGATCAAGTCTCCTGGCTACATTACAGGCCAGCACCTCATCTTCCTTCCGGAGGGTTCTGGGCATGATCTGCCAGATAGCTGCTGTGAGCAGCTTAGGGAAAACTTGCTAGAAGAGTCTTGTGTAGAAAAGGATGTGTTTTTCTCAGAGCAGAGAGAAGGAATCCATCACCTAAAAACACCAGCAAGAACACTCAGGCAAGTTTGGAGTGGGAGGGGTTACAAAGGGTTGCATTACAGCTTGGCTCGTCAGTGTCCAATCAACTAAAAATAGCTTAAAACACAATCAAAAAGTGTTTCCTTTTAGGTTTATATATGGTTTGCTTCCTGTGTTCCTCACTGGGAAGATTTCCTCTCACTTCCGGTCTTTGAGATGCAGCACAAAATGAGAGGAAATATCTCGAGGGTAAACAGAATTTCAATCTTCAGAGTTCTAACAGGTTTCCCAACTGGAGGATTTTTCCTCACTCCTTTCTCAATGTCTCAGTGATAAAGGTTACTAGCACAAACAGAGGGGTGATTCTACACAGCAGGGAAAAGACAGCAAGAAAGACCTGACAAAGGGTGTAACCTTTCCCCACTCTATCCAAAACTAAAAAAATAGGATTTGCCTTTGCATACACTTAATTGCAGCAAAGGCCTGTATTCTAGTCTTCTGAAAACTGACATTGCCTATCATGAATGTGCATTGGTCTGTATACTTAAATGAGACTATGGCCATGGAAGATTTGACATCGTCACTGAATGGTTCTTCCAAAAAATTTTTAAATACATGGTTACATTTTACAGAGTATACACTCCACACCAGTGACTTGCTTAAAAACCGAATATCTATTCTGCTCCCCACTAGCCATAGCCAACATTGCCAAATTAACTTTGTGTCAAAACAGTCCAAGTCTGGAAGAACCCAATCCCTTCCCCTCACAACCCAACATCCCCTTGTGGAAATGGAAAGCGATATCTTTCCCTAATACCCAAACAAGGTTCTTGTGTTGGACAATGCAATTTAACTTTCACCGATATATGTTTTCAAAAGAGATATCTTCAGTCCCCAATATTTGTAGAGCCCGTGGAAATTTGTTTCTTCTATCAACAACTTTTTTTGCCTTGCAATGACAACGATACAATTTTGGCTGACTCTGTTGTAGAAAAGGGTTTTGCTGTTTTTTTGTGTGGAACCACATGCCATCATTCTGTACAGATACTCCTCGCTTAACGACTTACCTGTTTTGCGACCACTCGCACTTACGACCGTCCTCCGAGCGACCTCGCGCGCCAGTGCGACGTGTCGCCGGGGGAAGTGACGTCCTCCGTTCTTAGCAGCGCGTCCCCCGTGAGTATTTTCATTGCCCGATGTACAGTACACTGTTCAGTACTGTACATCGGCAACGCTATACAGTATTGTACTAATGCAGTACAGTACTGTATAGAGTTCCTCACTTAACGACCAATTCGTTTAACGACCTGGTCGTAGGAACGGAACTCGGTCGTTAAGTGAGGAATACCTGTATTTATACTACACACCAGCGGTTATGGATGTGCAATAGGGAAACAAAGAATTATTTAGATGGCTTCAATCCACAAATGAGGAATAAGCCTCTCATTTTTGTGAAATGTGATGTGAATATCTTATGCTGCTTCTGCTAAATTCTGGGGGGTCATGAGGCAGTCAACACAACGTAGAATCTCCGTAGAGACTGAAGTGCTGGTGTACAAAAATGTTTGAGATGACAAAATGCACAGAATATATTAAAAACAACATTAACATTTTTCTCCGTGGTTAATACAGGGCTTCATATCAATAGTTAAATACATCACACACATACTTACTATGCCAAAGGCAGTCACAATGTTCTTCACACCATATCTGGAGAGCCCACGTAGCAGCTGACCTTCCACACAACGCTTAACAGGCAATTTTCTGAGTGCAGCTTCTGGGTCCTTCGTCTTTGCCCACTCCTCTCTGCACTGAACTAAGTAACCTTTCTCGGCTGCAAATTGTAATATATCAAAATGCCAGATGTTAGATTTATCAACAAAAATGCAGATCAAGGATCTAAAAATAAATTCTGGAGATTGAAGCTATGACGAATTAAACAGAATAGACGTGCAGCTTATATATTTAAAAAAATAAATAAAAAATCATCTGGGATACCACCGCATAAACAGTCTCTTAATATTTTTTTACAATAAAAAATGGGCAAAAATGATGCATAATTACTTGCATTATAGTTAAATATCTGAACATTTTCCAAGTGGATGAAGACTTCACCAAGGGATTTAATTACTCTAGTCTTTAAATAATCTCACGTTCACCAGATATTGCAGTTAGCTGCCAGTAAAAACCCCATGAGTGTAAATTGTTTCATACCTCCTGGTCTTGGCTTTAATATAAGGTCTACCATTTCTTCCCAGTTGTTTTGAAGAATAGCCCTGTAATTTAAATATATAAAAGTCAGTTTTTACATTTGTTAAGTAAAATATAGCAGAGGTAAGAAAAAATGTCAACTTACCTTCCAACCTGATAAGTTGGAACTGCAGTAGTACCAAAGCGCTGCATGCCATAATAATTTATGAAGCCGATCTCCCTGAGTGAGGTCATGGCTTGCTCTACCTGTTCATTTGTCCCAGCGATATTTCTGCCATGTTAAACAAAAATTATACACTGACAATATATTGAGTAAAAGTAGTCCAAATAAGGTGACCACCAAAAAGACTATTTACAACCAGGGGAAAAGGAGAAGAAAATTAATTATATTTTGAATGGTGCTAAAACATTCTGTATTACATTGTGACCTAAAATTAAGCCTGTCATGTATATAGGCAATTCAAACTGAGCATATGATGAAAAAAAGCAATGATCTGCAGTTCAAGAAATATAAGCAGCTGAACTTATACACAAATCTCTATTCCTAATATCTTCCGAGCACGCCACTAACCCGCTGAAAATCTTACGATTTTCAGCAGGTTTTCAAGCGTGCTCGGGAGACAAAAGACATGCGACCGTACAGTAGAAACGGTCGCACTCCTTCCATACACCTGCCGATTATCATACGATCGCGGGATCACCCGCGATTATCGTACGATAATCGGCAGGTGTATGGGCACCTTAAGAATTGATGCTGGTTTGAAGCCAAAGGGTAGTCAGACCAAATATTGTTTTGATTTAGATTTTTCTTCTGTTCACTCACTTTGCATGTTGTAAATTGATAAGAATAAATAGTACAAATATATATTTTTGAAAGCATTCTTACTTTAAAGCATTTTTTCCCACCTTCCTAAAACATTTGCACAGTTCTGTAACTATTACATATATTTAGCTAAACAAACACATCTTAAAAGTGAACTTGTCAAAAGGGAAAAAAAAACTACAAATATTGCAATGCTCGCACTCAAAGAACCAGAATCTGCCAGCACTTAACACAGGATTGTAATAACTTGTCTCCTGTGCTCCCAGGGACCCCACAAACCCTGATTTAGTATGCCCTCCCCTACAAGTAAACACAATAAGTGCAGTTCTGTTTTAGGTCATTACACTTTGCAAAGCTCAGCATGTGTCTAATGTATTATCTATTTTTTATATCCTGCACTAGTAATCTTTCTATTCTAAGCCGCTTGCACACAACAGAACCAAAATGTGTTCCCTTTAAAACTTAAATTACCTTGTGCCGCACTCTGCTAAGTTAATTATAAATTAGATTATCTGTGTGAAAATCTACAAATGTGTCAGTGCTTATTTTAACATATACACACTCTGCCTACACATCCTTAAACATAACTTATCAATGAATATCCACAGTGAACTATGCAATAATATATAACCAATTGTGTCTGCAACCACACTGTCCTACACTTAGCTTGAAAAAAAATTAAGTTGGAGCTGACTGACGCAATAGTGTGTGTGGAGATGAAGACATGCAGCAGGATCTAAACAGCGCTGGTGTTTCTCTCCTTGATGAGTGCAGGAGATTCCTATGGGAATCTAACACTGGATGGTTATTCAATGCAAGTTTTATGTGGGTTTTTTTACCATCTTTTAATAAAGTTGTTTTACTTTTATGGAGGGCACTATAGTTCACGATTTTATGTGAGATAATCACCCGATACTGAGGTCAGAGGTTCTGAGGAAGGGGGCGTGGCCCCGGAAACGCATCAACCTAGGCATGCTGTGCTGTCACACAGGAACCATCATCTGTGCAGTTCTCACATCCTGTGTCTTGCTTTTTGTTAAGACCGAGGATCAACCTTTGACTTGAAGGCTCATTGTTATCTACTCTTTTGTGAGTATTATTCTATTTTTGCTATTTGCTTAATAAAAATGTATCTACACTAGGGAAGGCGCCCCTTGTTTTTTCATTAAATATCACAGTTTGCGTGACAGATGTGGGGCAGCGACCTGTAGAACTTCTGCATGTACATTTCTTCAGTGGAGTGGTCATCTCTGGCACTATTGGTTTTTATTTTTGTGTGACATATATACCTGAGAGATCATCGGTGGAAGGAGCTTGGGACAAGTAGGGACAAGTAGGTGCTTGGGACTATCCCATCTTAAAAGAGAGAGGCTGCCGTTAGACCTTTCCCTATAAAGGTCTTCTCAGGAGGTGGGCATTATTTTGGTGGGGGAGACACACAGGGAGTTGGAAGTGTGTCCATCAGATCACTGTTGGTGTCGTACAATTTGACACCCATAAACAGAATATCTTGCTGCACTCCTTACCGCAAAAACCCAAAGCTGGGTGGGTACTTGTAGTGACCACGGAAGGCACCGTGTATATCACAGAAAAAGGAAATAATGTCACCAGCACACCATTTTTGTTAATCAATGATCCATTTTAATGGCACATTGCCATTCAACACAAGCGCTTTCGGGGCTGCAAGGGGTCCCCTTCATCAGGCTCAGAATGACATATAAGTAACAGATACATCGACCTTAAATAGACATCACACAGTGAGAATAACAATAAACCACTCCCATAAGAAAAATGTGCGCGGTGTGCAATACATTGATACTTTTCTCTTTAAGTGGCACTAACCTCAGGAGTTAAATCTTAAAAATGCATTCAAGATTCTTAACGATTAACAAAAATGTAAGTTACTTGAGGATCACTCAACTGTAGATCCTCAAATCATCTCTGAATTGGTGCCAACAGTGTCCTTCCTTCTGGAGGGTGGCGACTTTTGTTCCCCATGGTCCTGTGTGTTTAGGGTTGAGAGCGCAGCTGCTTTGGTATCAGGATATTAAATCAGGGCTATCCATAAAGCGCGGATCCACATATTTTACTGTGTTTTAAGGTAGCTGCTGCTCCAAGCTCACCCCTGTGATGGACTACAATCTCATGTTTAGTTTACTAATTAGCTTTGAGATTGTAGTCCATCACGGGAGTGAGCTTGGAGCGGTGACTACTTTACATTACACACAGGGACCATGGGGAACAAAAGTAACCACTCTCCAGAAAGAACAGTGTCGGCACCAATTCAGAGATGATTTGAGGATCTACAGCTGACTGATAGACACACAAGATACTTTTTTGTTAATAGTTAAGGTATTTGAATGCAGTTTTAAGATGGAACGCCCAAGTTTAGTGTCACTTTAAGGATGTGTTTGCAGATTTGTATGTGTTGAAATAAGTCACGGACACATTTCTATATTTTTGCACTGATAATCTAATGTATAAAAAAATTATCACAGTGCGGCACAAGGTTATTTTCTGTTTTAAATGTATGTGTGCAATTTGTCAACCATGCATACAGTATCACACATTGCTAACTGCAGCAATCTGCATACAGTGACATAATTATGCAGCAAACTGTAAAATAACCTGAAAACACACTGACTGGAAAGTGTGAGCTGACAAAGAAATCACATTATTTTAACCATGTCTGCACTATAAACGGAAAATGTTGAATTGGTGGCCAGTTGCATCACTAAAACTTTGTTGAGTTTTATAGCTTTTAAAATAACATTTTGTTTCCTCTGCCACCCAAAACATGCAGTTAACTCCTATGATGTGCTATTTAATTTTTACACTTTTAATTTGTTGTGTCAGCTTTAATTAAAGAAAATCCGCTACATTTGCTTACGTTGGCAATTTATGCATTACTAAGAAAAATACATTCCGACTGCTCAGGTCTCTCAATCTGCTGTTCCCAATTTACAGAATTTTTTAAACTGCAAAGATAAACAGCATATTTTAGCGACAGACATTTTAACAGTTAAGTCATACCTTAAAATGACTGTGAAATGATTTCCTTGAAGTTCACCCAACTTGAGCGGATACTTCTGGTATGTGAAATTTCCCAACTTGAAGTTCATTAAACACTTATTTAAATGGACCAGTCTCTGTGCAGTTATTCTGAAAAAAAGTGAATAGAATTATGCGTCATATGGTCGAATATCAAGTCGTGATTTATAAAAATTATATAACAAAAAGAAAAGAAAAAAAAAGTTATTTGTGCTTTATTTGGCTATGATTGAGGCTATGTTCACACCATGTCTGGACCAGATAAGTAAAGGCAGTGCATTTTTGCCATGATTTTGCCGCATTCCGGTGCTGTTTTTATTTTATTTTTTAGCTTAAAATGGGCTTTCAGGTGCAGTCTAGTGCGTTCGCATGCATTTTTGATATGTTTTCATGTGTACCAGTGCATTCAAGACCAGAGAAAATGCAACAAGCAGTATTTTTTTTTTGTCTGGACTGGAACGGACTGCACTGTCATGTACAGAACCAAGAAATACAATAGGGATACATTGGGATGCTTTTTTGGTCCGGGTGACAAAACTGGTCTGGACACGATCCAGACATGGTGTGAACAAGCCCTGAAATAGATAGTGCAGATGCAAAGATTATTTACTAGATATTAGATTTAAAAAAATCAGAATACATAATGTATGAAAACATGCAACATGCTAATGTAAATGGTGGGGAAAAAACCCCACATTTTAATCTTAAACAAACGCTTTAACGCTACACTAAACTCTGGAGTTAAAAGAGAACTGCCCTTTTTTGCTATAGTTCTCTATAGAGCCAAAGGAGGACACATACTAATGTCCTCCGGTGACCCAAAACTCAGTGTATGGATATATATATATATATATATATGGTATTTCTGGGCTCTGTTCACACCAGTATAGTTAGTTCCGGTCTAGACAAAAAAAAATACCGCTCATCTCGTGTTCGCTAGCCTAGAATGCACTGAAACGCATAAAAATGCACACAAACGCACACAGACGCACTGGACTGCCATTTTAAGCTTAAAAAGAAAACAAAAGAAAAAGAAAGCAGCAAAATCATTGTAAAAACGCAGCAAAAAGGCACTGCATTTGCAGATGTGCTGCAGACATGTGTAAACAAGCCCTTAACGCTATAACCAGTTGCTATTGTCTTGCTATAGCAGTTAATAGTGTGATTATGCAACTCCTAATACTGTAGAAATCATGGGGTGCAGGACAAGGGGAGGGAGATTTTCAAGACAATGCTTTTTTTTATTTACCATGTACAACTCCTAGGTGTTAGGTGCTGTGTTTTTATATCTCCTTTAAAATAAAACTGTGCTTTGTCAAATTCAAACAAAGCAACATCTTTAACTTACATACTTTTTCACTCCCATTTGGTGACGGAGTGTCAGGGAAGCAAAAGAAAAGTGAATATATATGCCTGTGGAGGTCTGCATTAAAAGTGAATCTGTTACTTTGCTGTATGGAAAGTGTTACCTGTTGAATTCTGTGGAACAAAATGTTAAACACATTTCTGTAAAAAAACAAACTGCCCAGATTGTAGTGGCTTTAATTTACCATCCTAAAAAATGAACATAGGTAAATATACGCAGTAATGAAGAGGGGTGTCCCTGCACAAAAATCATACATATTATTTCACCTCCAATACTACTGTTGTGGTGGAGTAGAGGGTTCAGAATGTGTGACTATCAATGTCATAATATTTACTTCTAAAAAGCATATGGTACTTACTTGAGAACCGCAATTGCCTGAACAGTGATAGCTCTTTTATCTTTGGTCCCCATATAGGAAAATATATTGGGCTTAACTCTACATAAAATAAAAAGTGGAAAAAAAAATTAGGAATGCTTTCAGTAGATTCTATTTGGGAAAAAGCTAAAACTGTTTTGCTAATTTTTTTAAAACTGACCTTAAAAACTTGGAGAGCACATTAATAGCATCCATTGTGTCTTTGTTTTCTTTGTACAATACAAAATGGCAATAGGCACCACGGGATTTTGGCCATGAATGCTTACGTGGATCTTTAAAAGAGGTACAAAAGGAACACAAATTACTACAGGTGAAAAAACTGTTCTGGCCTTTAGAAACAGGACATCATTTATGGCTAAATAAAATAAAAAACAAAAAGAAAAGCAATAGATAATTGCAAAGCTCTGATAAATAGGCCATAAGCACGTTAAACAGTGTTGCGTGTGCATTACCAGTTTAAGTGTGTGTTTGGCATTCCCCTTCTTTTTCATCTGTGAAATGCCAGCTTTGCTTACCTGAAGTTGTTCTGACCTCTGTCCAAGTGTATAGCATAAAGAGCACAAGAAAGTCATGTTTTAATTTTCTATATTTTTTTTTTCTGGTGTCAGAGCTGGTCATGCAAAGATAAATATGACTGCATGGTCATTCCATTCCTTAGGGTACAATGGCATCCAGCAAATGTGTGGCAAGTTGCAATGAACGTAGAAGCAGTAAACAGCTGAGAGAATGGACCTTTTTCACATGTATTTACACACAAATAAAAAAAAACAACATGACACGGCATTACATGTCCCAGACCAATAGCATAAATCTCCATAAACCTCACCTAATAATGAATGATTTATCTATTGAATGATACAGATCTAAAGAAAATCATTCACCTATGGACAGCTACAAGGAACGGCTATAAAGCCATCTTTGTCTAATTGATCATTAGTGGAGAAAAATCTTCACATGAACAAAGCAATATTTAAAATTTCACAACAAATTAAATTGTGGTGTACAGATCCTGAGTGTTAGGGTGCCAACCCCTGGTGAAATAGTAATAACAAATGAAGAGAGAAAGCAGTTGGGGTTTTTTTAGGCACCAGATGGCCAGATTATTATGACCACCCCATCAGTACTTCGTTGGACTACCTTTGGCCTTCAATACTGCGGTGATTCTTTTTGGCATTGACTCCACTAGATGTTTAAATCGGATGGGAGGAATCGGACACCATGCCTGATGAATAGCACTGTCCAGTTCTGTGAGATTTGATGGTTGTTGAACCAGCTGCCTGATGGCTCTTTCAACTTCGTCCCACAAATGCTCAATTGGATTGAGATCTGGTGATTGTGGGGGCCACCTAAGCAAGGTAAAGTCTCCCTCATGTTCTTGAAACCACTCCTGCACAATACGAGCACCGTGGCATGGCGCATTGACTTGGAAGAAGCCATCTCCATTCGGATACGCCATCAACATGATAGGATGAACTTGATCAGCAACGATACTTTGGTATGTTGTGCTATTCAGACGTTGTTCCACACGAATTAAAGGGCCCAAATCATGACAGGAAAACATGCCCCAAACCATAACACTGCCCCCACCAGCTTGAAGGGTTGTACTCATGCATGTGGGGTGCATGCTTTCATGCTGTTCCCGCCAAATTCTCACTCTGCCATCTGCATGATGCAACTGGAAACGTGATTCATCGGACCACATTACTTTTTTCCAATGCTCGACTGTCCAATCCTTGTGTTCCTGTGCGAATTGGAGACGTTTTATCTTGTTAACTGCAGACAGCAAAGGTGTTCGAACAGGCCTTCGGCTTCCATATCCCATACGATGCAGTGTACGGCGAACAGTGCGTTCAGAGATCATTTGAGAGGATCCCTGATTAAGATCTGCAGTAATTTGATGCACTGTTGCCCTTCTGTTATCTTGTACCAGTCTTGCCACTCTCCGTTCTGCCCTAACATTGACTAGTCGCTGACGGCCACAATTCGCACGTTCAGACCCAGATTTTCGGCTGACAGTCCAGTCTTAAACACTTTAACAGCTGCTCTTGAACATTTAACGAGTTCTGCTGTTTTGCACCTCGTGTGGCTGGAGACGGCCCCACACTTACCGGCGGCTTTTGGTGCCGGAGATCACCAGCAGGCGTTTTTGGAGGCTTCACTGCATTGACAGGCTCTCTCTATATTGTGTATTTTGATGGATAGACCTACCCTGGGCATGAGGATATTTCCTCCATTATCTTTTCAATAAACCCTCTTATGAGCAGACCCTGACTGGTTCTTCATTCTCCTTCACCCTGGGACTATCTGTCTTCCTGATCCGCCCTATGTTTCGGTTTATGCATTCGATGATCTCGCACTGAGGGGACTACCTCCTTCTCCTGAAGAAGCGACATGTGGCGCGAAATGCGTAGAGAGCATTGCGAGCATCGCATGATCACCCGTCTATATGGTTCCACTTGGTTATTTGCAATACTGTTGAATGGGCTGTATTTTCTTCCAACTACAATTGTCCATACTATACATTGTATTATCCTATTATATTGATTAGGCCACAATCAAGTAATTAGATTTTGTGATCATGTCTATTATAACTTCTGTTGAGGAACTTGATGGGTGTTAGGAGGTCCTCTTTATTTTTTTTCTATGTATTTTGTTCTTTTTTAATATATTTGCATACTAATATTTTTAACCCTTT